GAACCAATTAATTAAATTAATTTTTTTTATTTAATTATTTGTTTTGGGTATTATTTTCTAAACCCAATTTGTAAGTTAAAATGTGCTAAACACAATGTGTTGCCAAACTTTAATCTCAAAATATTAAAAAAAGGCCTATAAAAACTCTAAACCTTAACCTATTATTTCTCCCCCATATAAGGTTTCGGAACCAGACCTCCTCCTAAACTACCTACATCCATCTCCATAGCACTGTCTACTTCTGCCCCAGCTTTCTTTTCCAAATCTACTCTCATATAACATGTAACAGAATCCATAAACATTTATTTCGGGTAGATTACTGGCGTAATTTGTGATGGAAAAGAACCCAACACACACTAAATAAATCCACCCACGCATTACTTTTACTAATCAAGTTGTCAACATGTAGTTACAAGGAAACAACCCTGATCTTTGAACAACATCATACAATTTAACTTTTCTAAGTCATTTGTACGATTTTTGTGTTGTGAGGTTGTTAGTTTGGACTTTGGAAGACTTGATTGATGATTTTAGTTCAACTTTAAATGTTTATTTTCATTGTCTTTGATTCTAGTTAGAATGCTTATGCTATGATTGTGTTGGAGATGTTAAAATTTAAAATTTCAATGTTTTTCATTTTTTGAAAAAAAAAAAAAAAAACCGAAACCGAACCGGAAAAAACCAAACCGAAAAAAACCGAACCGATTTGAACCGAACCCACCCCTAGATTTAATAACCCACTTAAGGTGGACTTAAATAGGCTTTGAGAGAAATTTATTTCCCTCTCCTAGAAGATCTAATTTCGTATTAAAGAGGGAATCTACCTCAAAACAGGAAGCAGTCCTAAGTTTCCTAGAGCAAGAAGATCTCTACACCTGTTACCCTTTCCTACGAGCAGCCTAGCAGGTGTGGGGGCATTTGTGGAGCCAAAAATAATCACAAGGCGACACGTGGATTTTTGGGTAAAGATGACAAATTTACCCTCGGAGCATACCGGGTCTCCTACACTCGAGCAGTGGAGAATCATCCATCAATCAAATCAGGAGTACCCAAAATAGGTAACAAGTTCAAATTTGTCTTATCCATCCTCATTCCATAACCTTCAAAACCTTCCATACAAATTAGATTAATTAGGCTAATTAATAGATTAATTCTAATTAATCCATTAATCACCAAATTAATCACCATTTTCACACAAAATCCTCTAAGGGCCGTCCACCTTATTCCCTATATATAGGATCCCATTTCTTCTAAAAAGCTAAGTCCACACTCTTGCAAAACTCCCAAAAATTCTCTAAACAATTTTTCTCTCTAAATTCTAACTTTGGCATCGGAGGTTCTTCGGCCAAAGCCCCCCCCATTCATCGTGGGCGCGTGAGGCTCTTGGCCTTGACCAAAGGTGTCGATTGTTTTGTAGGTGCAATTTTGTCAAAGAAGGAGAAGGCGAAAATTTGCATCCACACCTTTGAATTTTTTCATGGGCTCAGAGCTCCAATGGTTCAGGAGGCTGTGGCTGCGGCTGCAGTCATGGGAGCTTTGGGGAGCATAGTGAGAGAGAGGAAGAGGTTAAGAGACATGAGTTTCTTTTTTATCCTTATTTTATTCCTCGAAGTTAATTTGTTATATGATTTTACACAAGAGTAATGCTAGGTGGACCAAATTTGCAACTAAATGATGGGTCACCAATAAGAAACAATGTTAATGCCTAAGTAATAAATCAATCATCAACTTTCATGTTATTTAGTTTACAAAATTTAATCTACAAATTTAGTCTCTCTACCATTACACAAGTGCATGCTTTGAGGAGAACTTTTTCCTTTCTTCTTATGCCTCGCCTAGAAAAATTTAAGAAAATAATTCATATCTACGTATTTATGTCTGTTAATTCACTTTTGATTCACTTAATTTAACAATTCACACTTGCTTCAAATCCTAAACTTTATTCATAATTGAAATACAACTTGGCTACATGAGCCCAATCTCGGGCACAGTTGTGAAACAGCACAGAACTACAAAGAGAGTAAAGATATAACATCACTGATCATGACCAAAATCTTATTACATTAATGTCAAATCTAACTACAAGGCTTAAACGAATTGAACTTCTTCATTGGTGATGCGTGTCTTATGCAAGGCCCCTTCCGTCTTGGAAGAGGTTGCCTGAGTGAGCTGCTGAAGTTGTGTCCTGAAAGCTAATTTTGTAATATTGGATATTATGTAACAACTTCATATTAATTAATAAATAAATGAGCAAGATTTATTCATCCATGAGTTGGGCTTATAGAGATAGTATACTATGAATGAGCCTATAGGATTTAAGGTATGAAAGTAATGTCCTAACCGAGGTTAGGGTAGAGAGGGTTGTATTCCATAGTAACTTAGTACTTAAATAAAGTTCTAGCTATTTGGAAAGTCCATTGGACATTGACTATCCTGAAAGGCAGGTGTATTTGCATTAAGGTTAGTATGGTCTCGTGTTATGCCTGTTGGACACGTAATGAATGTACATGTGCTTGTCTATTGAACAAGTTCACAGTTCACAACACACTGACCACACAAGAAGTTTAAATGTATGGATGCTTACCATATGTCATAGCTTCTGGTTGTAGTAAGCAAATAGTTCTCAAACTTGAGGCATCATAGGTATCTTATGCTTATAGATATGAACTTTGGTTTTACCTTAAAGCCCTCACTACTTTGCAGGGCCTGATTGTGTGATACTCAGGTTCATATGTATGAGTATGAAGATACAGGAATCCGCAACAAAAAATCTCTCACCTTCTGATAATTGTTCAATAGAAGAAGATATGCCTCGAAGCCACTTAAAGATCTATCTCATAAATCTTCGGCCGAAGTACTTGTTGATCAAGCTATGTTTGTATCAATTGCTTCAACATAAGATGAATCATGGCGTCATAGATTACTACTTGTGATTTGACATAAATCTTGATTGGGACATGGGTGATAGAAGAATTGAATTGCATTGTAACTACAATCAAGGTTCCAAAGAATATCATGATCAGTTCATATAATTAATTTCATTGTCGTATAATATGCAATTCCAGCCACTTTGATTTCCACACTAAGACACATGTTTTGTACTAAGTCCAATCCGATACCAATGGCCTTGGTGGAGTCCTTTAGTATTATCTTGCTCTTCATGACTTGAATCTTGATAGATTTTTAATGCTTTACTTACTTAATTTGTCAATTTACATTTTAAGTCCTCGTTCACTCGAGGCACCTAAAAGAACTTAACCGAACCAACATCTCACATGTTAAACAATCATTTGGTTAAGAAGTCAGATTGTAGCGCAACTTTCACACACACACGCACACATACATACACAATCAAATACAAGCATTGTATGTTCGTGGCCTCCAACAGTGGCATACTTATTCTCTCTTTCTCTCGAGCCATCTCGTGACAGAATACGTATTGAACTAAATCTAGGCTCTGTCAGAGTTTTGAGACCTACACCACGCGCTTTTTATATTAACTATGACAGTTCACATTGAATGCTAGGCCTCACTCTCTATGCCATGCCTTACCTTGCTTCCCCATCTTTCTCCCTAGGTGTATAGTGCAAGGCAATTAGTACGTCCGGGTTAGACGTTAGGTTTGTAATGGTCTTTTGGTTGTTCACAATTAATATAGAATGAAAATCAATCAAATATATAAAAAAAAATCTATTTACCATTTTTCAGTTTAATGGTGAGGATTGGAGATCATGAAGTACCAAAAAGTGAACGCTTTTGTTATCTTAGATCTCTCTTGCAAAAGAATCTTGGATCTATCTTGCAAAAAAACGAAAAATTGGATGGAGATATTAACATAGAATACAAGCTGAATGTATGAAGTGCAAAAGTGCATCAGGTGTGTAGTGCGACCATCCTATGTCACTAAATCTCAAGGAAAAAAATTATAAGATGGCAATAAGGTCAGCAATGTTTTACTGTACGTAAAGCAAAGATAGGAATACTTTGTTGGATGTGTGGCACACAAGAAAAGACATGAATAAGAACGAGGATATCCAAAGTAAAGCAGGAGTAACCGTAATCCAAGATAAGATGCGAGAAAATCGGTTAAAGTGGTTCGAACTTGTGAAACAAAGACTTATAGATGCTTCGGTTAGAAAATGCGATTATGAAATAGAGGCTCAAGGCAAAAAGGATAGAGAAAGATCTAGGAAAACTTGGAAATAGACTTTAAGAAAAGACATGAAATAGTTAGAACTAACAGAACACTTGGGACAAAACATTTAAGGATTCATACAACATAATTTAATAGGATAAGATTTTTTTATTGTTTATTATTGTACTCACCTTTTTTCGGTTGGATGCTTTTTTATTTTGTTTTTTTAGTTAATTAAAACATAGAAAAAATATATCGAACTGTTTATGGTTAGTTCGGTTACTTGGGTAAATGAAGCCGTTGTACTGAATAAGACCAACGAACACCTCGTTACTAATTATAGTTATATGAAAAAAAAAAAAAAAAAAAAAAGAAAGAAAGAAAACTGTATAGAAGAGAGGAGCCAGGATGACCAATGATGTTTAACTATACTAGAGACGATCCAATAAAAATTAACTGTACTAGAAACGACTACAAAATAACCGAACAATTTTACGCCGTATATTACACCAAAACCACTTCATGTAGCTTTTGTTTTCTTTGGGAGCCTTCCCTTTCCTCCATCCCTGCCATTGCGACTTGCAAGAAAGTTTGTACTGTGTGTATACATGCATACATACATACATACATACATACATACATATATATATATATATATATCCGTTTCTCTCTGAGATGGGGTTTCTCCTTAGGTAAAGACCAGAAGGATTAGAGAAGTATATTATACATAATGTCTTATTTTAAGTTGACTGGGAGTGTTGGTGGGGAAGATTTTGTAATATCCAGTAACACAAAAGATTTAATTGTGGTATGCTTCAATAAAACGATATCCCCAACAGGACTATGGCGAGCACACAACCCCTTTATGTCAGCTCTTTCAGTTCTTGTTATAAAACTGAGCATTGCCGTCTTCAGCACTCGTATTTTTATGGTCGCCTTAAAACCCTTGCATCAACCACGCATTGTTGCTGAGATTCTTGTAAGCAGTACATCCTTCCTTATTCCTCTCTTGTTATTTTTTTCTTACATCTGTTGTTATTATTAACGAAAACATGTAAGTAGTATATACACCATTTTACACGTTACAAACTTTCAGGGTGGAATGTTGACGAGTACGAGTAATTGGGGTAGAGTTGTACCAGCCGTATTTCCTTACAGTACCGTGAAGATTATCGAGACCATCGGAAACTTGGCCCTCGTTTACCACATGTTCCTGGTGGGTTTAGAGCTTGATTTAAAACCAGTTTTACGAGCTGGAAAGAAAGCTCTTAGCATTGCGCTCGCCGGCATTGTCTTTTCCGTCCTTGTTGGTTGGGCCTTATGTCGATATGTGCTCCTCAAAGATTTTGTCGAAGAAACAAAAGGCAAGGATGGACAAAAATTTCCCACTGTGAACGGCCCGTGGTTCTGGGGCGTTGCTCTTGCCACCACCAACTTCCCAGACCTTGCCCGAATCCTCACAGACCTCAAACTTCTCTACTCTGCTGTCGGAGGACTTGCGTTATCTGCCTCTGTTATCTCCGACTTATGCTCCTGGTTTCTTCTTTTGCTCGTAATGGCCATAGTCAACAACTTCCAGACAATTTCGGTGGGACTCACCTTGCTTTTTATAGGGCTATGCATTTTTATCGTACGTCCTCTTCTGTCACAGATTGTTGACCGAATTCGTGACAAAGTACAAGACGATGGCGACTACGGTCAACTTGAATGCTTTGTTCTAGCCGGGGTGGTGCTTTGTGGGTACATTACCGATGCATGTGGGTCTCATTCTATCGTAGGGTCTTTTATGTTTGGAGCTATCATGCCTAGAGGAGAGTTTTCAAACAATCTTAATAAGAAGGTGGGAAGTTTTGTGCCTGGGATTCTGTTGCCTCTCTACTTCTGTATCAATGGGAGTAGACTCAACTATGTGGATATTCTCAGTTCCGTTTATCCATCGGAGAAAAAACTGGGACGGACATATATCGTGTAGGGGGGGTTGTCATCTTAGCTTTTGCAGCTAAGACACTGAGCACTTTGGTTGCCGGCTTAGTAAACAAAATGTCATTTCGGGATAGTTTGGCTCTTGGAGTGCTCATGAACACCAAGGGCTTATTGACACTTATTATACTCAACACCGGTCGGGAAGTAAAGGTACGTAACATATGACTTTATGCATGCGTAATGCCTTTGAATAATTCATGAAAGAATGACAAATAATATGTCGTATATACATGTATATGTCTAGGCGTTGAACAAACAAACCTTCGGAGTAATGGTGCTGGCAATTTGGGTAATGACATTTGTAGTTGGTCCGCTTCTAGCAATTTTTTACAAGTCCAGTGCTAGGCCTTTCGTGCAATACAAAGAGAGAAATGTAGTAAGCGTAGGATCTAACAACGAGCTTCGAATCCTTGCATGTGCTCACAACTCACGCAATGTGCCAGGCATTATCAACCTCCTCGAGGCTTCTAATCCAACCAATAAATCCCCTCTTCATGTTCTTGCTGTCCACCTTGTGGAACTAACGGGGCATACTTCGGCGATGTTGGTAGTGCACGATGCTTGTAAGACCAATGATGTATATTCTCCCGACAACTCGTCCCCCTCAAATGCTTTTGAAGCATATGCCCAACAAAGAGAATGTGTCACGATGCAAACACTCACGGCGGTGTCTCAATACTCCACGATGCACCAGGATATATGCAACCTGGCTGAGGAGAATCGCGTCGCCATAATAATCATCCCGTTCCACAATAAATCCACCACATTGGTTGGAGGAGTGGCACCAGATGCAAACAACTCACATCTAAAGAGCCTCAACAACAACTTGATCGCAAATGCTCGGTGCTCTGTGGGTGTTTTTGTGGATCGAGGCCTCGGTGCATCCAACGACTCTTACCGTCGATGCTGCTATTCCATGCTCTTCTTTGGAGGGGTAGATGACCGTGAGGCATTAGCGTATGCGGGTCGCATGGCTGGACATCCTAGGACTAGCCTAACAGTCATATCGTTTAACATCATGAGTAAAAATGCATCAAACTTGTGCTCTGAGGATGATCATGGTGATGATGATGACGAAGACGATGACGATGAAGATGGTACTGGTGGAATTCTGAAGGCAATGGCAAGCACTGGGAGGGAAAAAAAACTGGATGAGTTGTACTTGGATGAGTTTAGGCTGATGTCAATGAATGATGCCTCCATAAAACTTTTAGAGAAATCGGTGACTAGGTGGGAACAAATTCTCTCACTAATAAGCTCAATGGAAGGTGAGTATGATATGTACATAGTAGGAAGAAGGCATGGAAATATATCAGAGGTCACCACGACGTTACTCGATGGCATCGACTCCAATGACCTTGGATTTCTTGGAGATGCATTGGTATCTTCAAACCTTACAGCAATTACATCCGTTCTAGTTGTGCAACAAGGTCGCCTTTTGGATTATTATTCTTGATTGAGAGAGAAAATGGGATGTATCTTGGAATAATTTGTGTTGGAGAATTAGGTAATAAAAACTTATTGAGATTGGTAAATATGGGATTGTATTTTATTTCCTACCTACAAAATAATGTGTAGGTTTCCTTGTTGAAGGAATTAGGTTTACTCATTTAATTTGGTTACTTATTCAATTAGGCTTGTATTTCTTTTCTATAAATACTTTCTTATGCGGAATAATAAAGATGTATTTCAATTGTGTGAACAATGTGGTAGTGTTATTGCTTTTGATATAATATACTTTTGTTGTAGTTTGAGAATAATTAACTGTAAAGTAAAATAATCAAGCTTTGGATAAATTGTATTTTAAGGTATATATGTATTGTCATTCTTGAATACGCACAGACACTTAAATTCTAAATTATAAATTTAACATGTAAAATGCCCCTAAAACATTACCTTTAGTGCTCACATAAATTTTTTTATTTTCTTCTTCCTCGCATCAAAGCTGTCGTCATCGAAGTACAGTGGATGGAGAACTGGGCCCACAACACTATTCATCCTAGTTGTCACAAATATGTCACTATTGATGTCTTGGGACCTGGTGCCAATTGAAAATTCAAGAATAAATATTAATTAGCCTAGAGGGGGATCGAATAGGTTTTAACTTAAATGACTAGGCCAAATTTAAACTAACAATTAATTAAACATGGTTAAAATCCTACACATCAATAACAAACAGAAAATAAAGTGTTCACCATATCATGTAGATTTAACGAATCAAAACCCCATCACTAGGGAAAATCCTTGTACTACTAAGTCAACATATAAGTTAAGAGAAACGAACATAAAAGGAACTTACAAAAATCATCTTACTAGACTCTGAGGTAGAAGGCAGCTTTAGAGGACCTTAATGGTAATATGAAACATATTACGAACTGTAGCCACAAAAGTCTTGAAGTGATCAAATACGTTTGATTAGGTATATTCACGAATAGCTGAAAAAATCATCAGCAAATAAAATATAAAAGAAAAACCGCTAAAGAAAGTAACAGGTGACGTCCACATAGCCTGATGAATTAGGGAAAATAAGGCAGAAGCATGATTATTATTATTATTCAAACTAGCCTCTTGCCGCGCATGAGAGTTTTTATTATTTATTATTTAATTCATTATTTTTTAATTAAAATTTTTTGTTTTGATGAGGCTTAAGAAAACAAAAATTTTGATGAAAAACATTTAATTGTTGTAATATTATGATATTATAGTATATGTGTGGTTGTGTAAATTACTAGTAGATTGTATTTAAAATTGTTGATGCACAAAACCGGAGGGGTCTTGGAACAACGTAAATCCGACCGTGAATTTGCAAGAAAGTAAAGAACACAAGATGTATCGTGGTTCACCCCAATGTTTGGGCTACGTCCACACTGATATTGTATTTCTCTGTTTGTGAGAGGGTTGTGAGGGAGAGAGAGCTTCTGAGGGTGAGAGAGCTCTTTAGGGGATTAGAGGCTTTTTGTTTGTGAGGGTGAGGAGGCCCTTTTATAGAATAAGGGCTCCTCACTTATTACATATTTGCCCCTTCATTTATTACATAATTACATTTGAGTCCCCCGAGTATTTATAAGAGATCTAAATACGGAGGCCCTAAGTATGGTACAAACAGTAGTCCCCCAAGTCTTCAGTCAAGAAAGTCTTTTGGCTGGAGACTTGAAATTCAGTCCATGTGTGGGCCGAAGTAACTAGATGTCGTCTAGAACTGATACTCGATATGAGGCGGTGCCCAATCTGAAATGATGCTCAACTAGAAGTAGCACATGTTGCGAGGCTGCTCTGCTTGTGGCTTATGTTGCCTTGGTTGGCTCGGCTTGTGGCGTTGGAGGTGAGGGAGTCCCTTTTATAGAATAAGGGCTCGCTCCTCAATACATAAATGATGGGCTAGAGTTGATGCTCGCAGCGAAGCGGTTGCTCAGTAGGCGGCGATGCTCTCTAATGATGGTGAGGGAGTCCCTTTTATAAAATAAGGGATCGCTCCTCAATACATAAGTGATGGGTTAGGAGTGATACTCGCGGCGAGGCGGTTGCTCAGCTGGCGGCGATGCTCTCTAATGATGGTGAGGGAGTCCCTTTTATAGAATAAGGGCTCGCTCCTTAATACATAAGTGATGGGTTAGGAGTGATACTCGCGGTGAGGTGGTTGCTCAGCAGGCGGCGATGCTCTCTAATGTGGTGAGGGAGTCCCTTTTATAAAATAAGGGCTCGCTCCTTAGTACATGAATAATGGGTGCTCTCTAATGAAAGTGAGGGAGTCCCTTTCATAGAATAAGGGCTCGCTCCTCAATACATAAATAATGGGCTAAGTCCCCCAAGTATTTTTCATGAGGCCTAGTTACGGAAGCCCAATATATTGGTACATAGTGCAGTCCCCCAAGTCTTCAGTTAATAGAAGATGTTGGCTGGAGACTTGAAATTCAATCCATGTATGGGCCAAAGTGGCTGTTGTTCGGAGGCGGTATTTGTATACCATGCACTGAAGCTTTGTAGGTAAAGCTTTGCAAGTGAAGCTTTGAAGCTGGAGCTTTTGTAAATGAAGCTTTTGAAGCTGGAACTCTCGAAGCCGGAGCTCTGTAAATGAAGCTTTCGAAGCTGATTGACATGAGTGATGCTCATGAATGTTTATGTTGTTTGACATGAGTGATGTTCATGAATGTTTATGTTGTTTGACATGAGTGATGCTCATGAATGTTGACATGAGTAATGGTCATGAATGTAGACATGAATGATGGTCATGAATGTTTATATATGATTGACATGAGTGATGTTCATGAATGTTTATGTATGATTGACATGAGTGATGCTCATGTATAGTTTTGGAGTACTGGACGTACTTTTGATCGCCTGGTTGGTGATAATAGCGGCAGGCTGCCGAATAATTTTGGAGTACTGGGCGTACTTTTGATCACCTGGTTGGTGATAATAGCGGCAGGGTGTCGAATAAATTTGGAGTACTGGACGTACTTTTTTTTTTTTATGATTACCCTTTGATGGGGTTATACAGATCTTTCCGAAAGATAAGAAAAATAAATTACATCATTCAAAAATAAATCCAACTCTCTGCTCAATGGGTCACGCCCATAATTCCCTTTTTTGCATGCCATCACCATCGTAATTATGTCTGTTTTTTTTTATCTTATTTTGCTTTCTGCTTTTGCTTTTCGCTTTTCTTTCTGCTTTTGTTTCCCACTCTTCCTCTTTTTCTTTTTCTGAAACATTTTCTCAACAACATCATGATCTTTTTCTTTTTCTATTCTGTTCCTTTATCCAGCAAGCCCACTTGACAGCGGATTGCACGTTACTCTCCATCTCTTTCTTCTTTCTTTTATTCCACTTTTGCTTTTTGCTTGGCATGTTTACAGCATAGGTGAGCAGTGACTGTAAATCCACTTGCAAATGCTGACGACTAAGCACAAACAATCCTCCGCGCTATTCCCAGTATCCCCAACGTGTGTGGGGGACCACGAAGCCACCAAGGGGACTCTCCCGTCCGAC